CCACATGGAAGGCAAGAAGGCAGCAAAAATATTGAGGAACTGAGGATGCAATTACCCTCTTTACAAAGAAAGCCAATGGTAATCACACACAGACTTTCACGAGAGCCTGTCACTGCTCAAGATGAGTTTCCAAGCCTCACAGCAAATTCAGTACCATCTCTGAATGTAAAACTATTCCTTCTCAAAAATGAATGGAAAAAAATTAAATTTGAAAACATGAATGACTAGTCTTTCAATTAGTAATATATTAATATATATTAACCTACACTACTGAGTGCTTATAATGTACCTGGCATATATATTATTTATATCATCTCTAATATTCATCACCCATCACCCTGTAAAGTGAGCACCCATAGTTAAACATTTTTTTTTTTGAGATGGAGTCTCGTTCTGGAGGCTGGAGTGCAATGGCCTGCTCTGGGATCACCGCAACCTCCGCCTCCTGGGTTCAAGCAATTCTCCTGCCTCAGCCTCCCAAGTAGCTGGGATTACAGGTGTACGCCACAATGCCCGGCTAATTTTTGTATTTTTAAGTAGAGACAGGGTTTCACCATGTTGGTCAGGCTGGTCTCAAATCCCTGACCTCGTGATCCGCCCACCTCAGCCTCTCAAAGTGCTGGGATTACAGACATGAGTTAAACATTTTATAGATAAAGAAATCAAGGTTCAGAGACCAAGTACTGATCTAGGATTCAACCCAGACCTTCTGAGGTCTGAAGTCCATACCCCAGCCCCGTGGTGAGCATCCTAGCAATAATAAATGCCAGTAAAAACCCCTGAATGAGTGAATCTGTATTGGAGCTGGTACTAAGGTGAAGGTGTTAGCTGGTTCTGAGAGCAGAATTGTTAATCCAGAACAATGGATTTTATAATTGATGCTCATGAAACATTGACAGAAGTTGATATCCCATACGTAGACATGATTTTATACCAGTGAATGAGAACAGAGTCACAGAAGTGAAAGCCAATTTGCATTCTTGACTTCTAAAAACATTCATCTCTGTAATCAGAGTACTCAAAAAATTAACTGGTCTGGATGTGGTAGATAGAAGATTAGAGATACATTACCCAAACATGCCTCACATGTAATTTCCTCAAAGCTGCCCCTTATCTAGTCACATTTTAAAAACTTACCACAATAACAAGAAGAAGGAGAATCTGGGAAAAAACAATTGAAAATTGAAAGAACGTCGTGTCTTTCTGTAATTGCAAGTGGATTGCGTGTACCTGCAGGTCTGAGAAGGTGGCAGAGTCGTCAGAAGAGGCTCTGCTGCTCAGCCATTTCCCTCAATGCCTCTCTGCACCACCACAGGCTTAGAGTATCTGACTGTCTCTGTCAAATAAATGCAAGAATTGCACTCCTGTGCCTCCCTTTTCGCAGATGTGGGAACCACTATGTTTGCATTTCAGAAGTTTTCTTTGCATGTAGAGAAACTGAACTCGCTGGGCACAGCAGCTCATCTTGTAAACCCAGCTACTCAGGAGGCTTAGACAGGAGGATTGCTTGAGGCCAGGAGTTCAAGAAGCCGAGTTAGGGAGGTAGGTTGTCATTTATTGAGCATTTACTATGTCCTGGCAGTGGACTGATCATCATGCATGTATTATCTCTTTTAATCTTCATGGGAAATATGTATATTAGATAATACTATTCCCAATTTCTAGATGATGAAACCCTACTATTGAGCTATGAAATTTTTCAAGTCTTACTTAAATAGTGGCTCTCAACATGTTTACCCAGGATGAGGAGGCAGAAAACTGTTAAAAATACCAATGTCTGTGATTCACCCCAAGAGACTGTTACACCTTTGCTCTAGGACACAGCTTGGCCATCCAGAGTTTTAAGAACGTCACGGGTGATTCTAATGTGCAGTAAAGACTAAGAACCACTGCACAAAAGCAAGTCAGTAGAGGAGACAGGATTTGAACCCAGCCTCTCTAATCCCAGAACCTGAGACCTTGACTGCTTGCCCTATTCTGCCCTAAAGCTGAAATTAAGAACACTGGATGCTGGCAATCAATGGCAATTGTTGTAGGAAATCTAAGCTTGACCAATCCTAGTATTCCAGGCTGCCCAGTTCTTCCATGGGGTGCCAGTTCTTTCCATTTAAGAGTTAACACGAGGGGTTTTTTGGTTTTGTTTTGTTTTATTTGTTTGTTTGAGATGGAGTTTCATTTATGTCACCTAAGCTGGAGTGCAATGGTGCGATCTCAGTTTGCTGCAACCTCCACCTCCCAGGTTCAAGAGATTCTCCGGCCTTAGCCTCCCGAGTAGCTGGGATTACAGGCGCCCATCACCACACCCAGCTAATTTTTGTATTTTTAGTAGAGACGACGTTTCACCACGTTGGCCAGGCTGGTCTCGAACTCTTGATCTCAGGTGATCCGCCCACCTTGGCCTCCCAAAGTGCTAGGATTTTAAGTGTGAGCCACTGCGCATGCCCAACATGAGTTCTTTATTTGTGAACCACATACACCTCCTGGACTGTAATCAGTCCATCTACGATGGCTGCTCTTAGAGCCCTACCCTTGGGCAGCACTCCTCATCCCTGGAAAGCCAACAGTTCAGACTTCCTCCCATTTCAGGACTGGCTTGGACTCCTGGCAGCAATTTTGCTAACAAATGTTTTCAGAAATCAAAACCAGATATGTTTCCTATTAAATTAGAGAACAGCTTTCAATGTAAACAGTAGTGGGGTTATTACCCTAACATCCCTAGTTCACTTCGAGAAATGCAGGGCTCTTTAAATACTTTACTTTAAAATAGTGCTTATGTTGTTATTTTTAAAGCCCCAGCTTTGCCAGAGTTTCCCTACTGTGTGTCTGCCCTGCTCTCCATCCACTGTTCTTCTCCTCCTACTGTTCCTCCCCACAGACAGAAGGAACTGCTGCAATTAGCTGTGTATTCAGATGGACAGGAATAAAAAGAATAGGGTTTGGCCTCTTGCACTGATTACTTCATCTGCTAACCTAAAAGTCAGCAGATCACCATGAGGAAGTCATCCCACAGTCCACATTTACTAGGATTGATATAATTTGGCACAATAAGCATTTAACGGTAAGATCCCCTTCCTCAGCCCTTCCCACAGAAGCTAGGGTAGTGCTGTGCCCACATTGGACCCAAGTTCATTTATGGATTCTGAGACCTCCCTCCAGCTCTGAAGGTGCATGAGGTCCAGCGTGGACATCTGCTCTTCTTCATCATCCACATCCATACTGCCACCACACACCTATGGGCTCTGACTGTTCTTCTTCCTAAATAAGTGGGGTTTCAGGTGAAAAGCTCCTTATAAAATGACAGATCTGAGATCATTGCAAGTGATAAATCTCTTTCAAATGAAATGTGGCACACATAACTTATGCATCACACAAATAAACACTTATCCAATAAAAAAAGAGAAAATAACTGAATCTAGAGTTCTGATTTCATACATCATGTTAAAAAAAGTATCTTTTCTTGAAAATTGGTAATATAGTAGATTTTTAGCTGTTCTCACTGCAAAAATAAATGGTAAGTATAGTAAGTTCTCCATTCATCAATAAGTTCTTGGAAACTGTAACTTTGCATTCAGAGTATATTGAGTATAGAAAACCTTCTGGAAAGAATTCCCCATTCTAGATACCATTAAGAACATTCGTGATTCAAGGGAGGAGGTCAAAATATCAACACTGACAGGAGTTCAAAAGAAGTTGATTCAAATCCCCATAAATGAATTTGAGGGATCCAAGACTTCAATGGGGGAAGTCACTGCAGATGTGGTGGAAATAGCAAGGAACTAGAATTAGAAGTGGAGCCTGAAGTTGTGACTGAATTGCTGCAATCTCATGATAAAGTTTGAATGGATAAGAGGTTGCTTCTTATGAATGAGCAAAAAAAGTGGTTTCTTGAGATAGAAACTATTCCTGGTGAAGATGCTCTAGACATCATTTCAATGAGAAGAAAGGGTTTAGAATATTACATAAACTTAGTTGATAAAGAAGCAGCAGGGTTTGAAAGAAGCTACTCCAATTTTGAAAAAAAGTTCTATTGTGGGTAAAATGCTATCAAACAGTATCACATAATATTGAACAAACTTTCTTGAAAGGAAATCAACCAATGTGGCAAACTTCCTTGTTGCCTTATTTTAAGAAATTGCCATAGCTACCCCAACCTTCAGCAACCAGCGCCCTAACCAGTCAGCAGCCATCAACATTGAGGTAAGTCTGTCTACCAGCAAAAAGACTAAAACTTGCTCAAGGTTCAGATGATCATTAGCATTTTGTAGCAAATTATATTTGGAACCCCGCAATACCATTACTGGGTATACCCAGAGGAACAGAAATCACTGTACCATAAAGGCACATGCACACAAATGTTCACTGCAGCTCTATTCACAGCAGCAAAGACATGGAATCATTCTAAATGCCCATCAATCACAGATTGAATAAAGAAAATTTGGTACATAAACACCATGGAATACCATGCAGCCATAAAAAAGAATGAGATCATGTATTTTACAGGAACATGGATGAGGCTGGAGGCTATTATCCTTAGCAAACTAACACAGGAACAGAAAAACAAATACCACATGTTCTTACTTACAAGAGGGAGTTAAATGATGAGAATTCATGGACACAAAGAAGGTAACAACAGACACTGGGTCCTCCTTGAGGGAGGAGGTTGGAGGAGGGAAAGAAGCAGAACAAATAACTATTGGGTACTAAGCTTAGTATCTGGGTGACAAAATAATCTGTACAACAAACCTCTGTGACATGAGTTTTCCTATCTAACAAACCTGCACATATACTCCTGAACCTAAAATAAAGGTTAAAAGAAAAAAAAAAAAAGAACATTTCCCAAGAGTTAAAAAAAAAAAAAAAACTGGAAAATTCTTTACCCTAATGAAAATATATCAAATATATCTAAGATAGTGCTTTATACTTATATTCAATATTTTTATTGGAATTAAATTTCAATTATTTAATTTAATAGAACATTTTATGTCTAAGTAACTGGAAACTTAAAAAATAAAAAGATATTTTAATGAAAGTATGTACATTGTTTTTTAGACATCATACTACTGCATTAACAGATTACAGTGTATACATAACTTTTACATGCACTGGGAAATATAAAAATGTATGTGACTTGCTTTATTGTGATATTTGCTTTATTGCAGTGGCCTGGAACCGCAACCACAATTCTCTAAAGTAAGCCTATACATATTGCAAAACAACACATTGTACATGATCAACATATACAATTTTTAGTTGTTAATTAAAAACATAAAAATTAAATATGTATCTTTTCATTTTCCCAGCTCCATCATAAAAATCAACCCCCCTCTAAAGTGTTAAATGAATCTCCTTCTAAAGGAAATTGATTGAGAATACAAATACCAGTCTTGCAATAACACCGCATTACTCTGGTCAGTAACACACCAGCTTCTGCATATACTGCTGAGGACTAAACATGGCAAGGGAAGAGGGCTCTGCAGCTGGCCACAGGCACTGAGGCTGAACAGGGAGGAGGGGGGAGTTTGCATTCCAGTGAAGGTGTCGGCTGGCAGCCTTCCAAGCTTGCAGATGTTCACCAACTCCTGTCTTCATCAGGAGCCAGATTTCCTGATGCTTGTTGAGCACCACTTCTTACATTCATATTTGAGTACTAAGGAAATAATATGCATCTAAATGAGTTCTAGAGACTGCCCATGGCTATAATTTCCTACTGATCACAGTAATAATGTTCTGTGCTTGTACTGGGCCCTCGATCTGAAGAGACCAAGATCCAATTCCACTGTTTCCCTATCAGAAGGGCCATAGAATTAAAAGTATTTAGGGAAACAAGCTCTTGTTTCCCATTTTCCAGAGCCAAGGACAAACAGATCTCATCGTTTGGCAATGCCTGGCTTCTTTCCCCTCCGAGTATGGTTCTGAAGTGGGAAGAAGATTCTTACAGCCAAAGAACCAGGAGGAAAAGACAGCTGGGTCTGGCATCTCTGTTCTTCCTAACAGGCTTGCTTTCAAAAGAAAGGCAAAATTTTTTTTCTCTTATTTCTGCAGAATCAGGAAGTTTACTCTAAAATAAGAAAACTTAATGCTGCCACTTAGCAGGCACACAAACCAAACAAAACTCAGGTCTAATGTTTAAGAAATCAACCGCCTCAGGCCATGTGTGACACAGCCTTGTCCTGCAGGGTTGCACAGTCCAGACGTCCAGCCTCAGCTGTCCTTCACCTCTCGGGTGGACGCCACAATGTAGGTCTGATCTTTTCCCAGAGCATCACACCACAGAGTGGGCTAAGTGCGTTAACCTTGATTAGGAGTGCTCTGGGTGGCAGAAAGAAGGTTAAAGAATGTCTGTTCAACTTCAAAAGGAAAAAAGTGATGCTGGCAGGGTCAAAAATAGACTAGCAGAGGGAGAAGGGATCTCAAAATCACCGTGCTGGAGTCTGGATCAACCACTCTGTCCACTGTGCTAATAAGCACAGCCCATTCTTAGCCCAATAACGAGGCCAAGAACTGAACGTTAACAAAGCTGCAGCTCTGGGGATTCTAAAGTGACAGGGACAGGCTTTTGAAATAGCCACATCATTAAATAGAATTTGTTTTAAATCACCTCTTAAAGCCTCTAAACACAGGTCTGTTCACTTGCAACTCCCAAAACTGAATCCTAAGAACCAGCATGTCCAGGCTGCCCCAGGAGAATGAGGGGAAAAGCATCAAGACAGAGAGAACTGTATGTGTTAGAACCCTGGGCACCAGTGGGGTCATTAATTATATCAACTGGTGGCTGTGATCTCTAAGTTGGAGGTTCCCACAGCATGGGGAGGCTCTACCTCCTGAGGAGCCTAGAAAGAGCATGGGGTTCAGACGCAGGACATGGTGAAGCCAGGAGAGTCTGAGCAATGACCGAGGGTTACATCAGGCCCACTCTGGACACCTGCTAGTCCCAAAGTGGCTTATCAAGCAGCGCCAGCAAACATACCCCTGACATTGGCAGCCAATCACCTATGTAGGCCACACCCACTGCCCCAAGCACCTGTATGCAAGTGGCTGCCAGCTACAGCCAGGGGAACCCTGCACGGAAGCAGGGGTCCCAAGGAAAAGGGTAAGGGCTGACGTGATCCCACTCATCTGTTCTGCTGATGGCGGAAAGGGATTTTAGAGACCAGAAGCACATATTTGAGCCTTTTCTCCTTTTACCAACCAGCAGCCATACATCCTTCATCCCCACCAGACATTTCTCTGCCCAACTGCTAGATGTCCAAATTGGAGATGGCCTCCCCAATTCTGAGTCCATTCAGCTCTCAGTATCAAAGAGTATTGGCAAAAACGGGCTCATCTGAAAGGGATGCTTTTGCAACATATCTGACCTCCTAGATGTTAAAGGAAACAATCCACTGATTTCACCACCATCCCAAAAGATCGGAGAAGACTGGTGTTGGAAGGCTTATTGGTGTCCTAGGACTGCTGTAACAAAGCACCACAAAGCAAGTGGCTCAAACTACAGAGGTATTGTCTTGGCTCTGGGGGCTGAAATCTGAGATCAAGGTGTGGGCAGGGCTGGATGCTTCTTAAGGTTGGAAAGGAAAATCTGCTCCAGGCCCCTCCCCTATCTCCTGGAAGCTAGCTGGCAATCTTTGGCATTCCTTGGTTGGTAGATGCATCAGCCTACAAGCCAGGTGCCGGCGCTCTCTCTCTACATGTCTGTGTCCAAATTTCCCCCTTTTTTTCTTTCTTTCTTTTTTTTTTTTTTTTTTTGAGACAGAGTCACACTCTGTCGCCAGGTGCCAGGCTGGAGTGCAGTGGCACAATCTCGGCTCACTGAAATCTCCGTCTTCTGGGTTCAAGCAATTCTCCTGCCTCAGCCTTCCGAGTAGCTGGGACTATAGGCACACGCCACCATGCCCAGCTAATTTTTGTATTTTTAGTGGAGACGGGGTTTCACCATGTTGGCCAGGATGGTCTCGATCTCTTGACTTCATGATCTGCCCACCTCGGCCTCCCAAAGTGCTGGGATTACAGGCTTCAGCCACCGTGCCCGGCCCAAATTTCCCCTTTTTATAAGAACACCCGACATGGTGAGTCAGGACCCATCCTAGGGAACTCATTTCACCTTTAAGATATCAAGATATAAGATATTAACTTAAGATATTCTGAGGCTGGGTGTAGTGGCTCACACCTATAATCCCAGCGCTTTGGGAGGCAGAGGCAGGCAGATCATTTGAAGTTTGGGAGTTTGAGACCAGCCTGGCCAACATTGTAAAACCCTGTCTCTACTAAAAATACAAAAAAGCTAGCCAGGCGTGGTGGTGTGCACCTGTAATCTCAGCTACTCAGGAGGCTGAGGCAGGGGAATCACTTGTACCCAGGAGATAGAGGTTGCAGAGAGCTGAGATCATGCAACTGCACTCCAGCCTGGGCGACAGAGAGAGACTCTATCTCAAAAAAAAAAAAAAAAAAAAGAGTGCATAGGAGTTTTCCACTCAGAGTCATTAGGCATTCCAATCAAGAAAATAGAGGGAACAGAGGTATAAAAGCCACAAACATTTGAGGGTAGGGGGTAAAGACGAAAGAGGCACAGAGGGCTGAGGAGGGCTGGAACTCTATCCTGAGGGTGACATGGAGTCACCGGAAGCCTTGGGCATTATTGGCCACAATGGAGAGAATGGAGGGGGTAGAATTTGGGGTGGATTTGGAGGAAGGAGGGAGGTGAACATCTAGCATGGCTTCCAAGTCCCTGGTGCGTGCCTGGGTGGGGGGATGGAGGGGGCACTCATGGTGCTCTGAACAGAGGCAGGGAAGAAAGGAGCGGAGCAAGCTGACGCAGCAGGGAACAAGACGATGCCGAATAAAGGTCTGGCTTCAACAGTTTCTTCAAAAACCTCATTCTTAGCAACTTCTCTAGTTGGCCACACCTGACTCTGGTGACAATCATCTTATACACGGAATGCCAATGTACATGTTCATTTACCTTTTGTTTTGCAAATGCCAGTCGGTGATTTCTTGCAAGTGATGGTGAGGGCCTCAGTGTTGCCCTCTCATACAGCCCAAGGGACGCTCTGAAGGGGGCCCCTCCTCCCAGCTGTTTATCCTCCCCCCATAAGGCACACAGCACAGCAAGTTCTCTGCACAAAGGAAGTGCCTGACAAAAGTGGCTGGCTAATGGTTTCCTTTGCTGGTTTTAGCCTCAGGGAAAGGGTAAGCCTCAGGTACCCTTCACTGTTCATGCTCTTATTAGTCTTCTACCTGATAAGGATCTGGTGAACAATTCTGAAAAGAAAATGAAAGCTTCCAAATGCCATTGCAACACTCTATCTTCCTCCTACGTGTCAAGAGGGGCAGAATATCTGCCTACTCCCTGCATGCTGTTTGCAGCAGCTCCTGAGCATATAGCTAAAGTCAGTGTCTCACACCATCAAACCACCATGGAATTTACAAACTTTCCCAAAAGAGCCTCTGAGGATCATCCTTCTGGTAACCTGGTGGACAGAGATCTGGTTGGACCTCCTGAGATGCTCTGTTCTTAAAGCTGCTGATTGGCCAGGCATGGTGGCTCATGCCTGTAAACTCAGTACTTTGGGAGGCTGAGGTGGGCAGATCACCTGAGGTCGGGAGTTTGAGACCACCCTGAACAACATGGAGAAACCCCGTCTCTACTAAAAATAAAAAATTAGCTGGTCACGGTGGCACATGCCTATAGTCCCAGCTACTCGGGAGGCACAGGCAGGAGAATAGTTTGAACCTGGGAGGCAGAGGTTGGGGTAAGCCAAGATCATGCCATTGCACTCCAGCCTGGGCAAAAGAGCAAAAACTCCATCTGGAAAAAAAAAAAATCTGCTGACTTCCAGCCCTAGCTCTGGAGATAGAGCGAGAGCCAAAAGCCTCTCTAAACAGGAGCTGATTTTAATGCTGGAATACAAAGGGGTGGAGTGACTCCCTCTTCCCTTGGAGAGCCACTTGGGTAACCCAGGGCAGCTGCAAAAAGAAGAAAGGCTGCTCAAAAAACAAAAAACTGATTTGGTGCCTGTAATCCCAGCACTTTGGGAGGCTGCGGCAGGAGGATCCCTTGAAACCAGGAGTTTGAGACCAGCCTGGGCAACATAGTGAGACACCATCTCTACAAAAAAAATTTTTTTTTACATTATCCAGACATAGTGGCACATGCCTACAATCCCAGCTACTTGGGAGGCTGAGGTAGGAGGATTGCTTAAGCCCAGGGGGTTGGAGCTGCAGTGAGCTATGACTGTGCCAGTGTACTCCAGCCTGGGTGACAGAAGAAGACCCTATTTTAAAGAAAAATAACAGCTTTGTTGCATTCTCATGGTTCATAAATGATGCAACAGCCAAGTGTGACAGCGCGTACTCTCCTCTCCTTAGTTACACACCCACAGTTCTTGCCACGAAGGGTGCAAAAACTCTAGCTTTGCAGAACAGAACTTTATGGGTACCTAAAGCATTCAGGAACAGTTATGTCGTTTCTATTCAAAGCTCACGGAAACAGTCTAAGTATACTAAGTGATATGGTTTGGCTGTGTCCTCACCCAAATCTGATCTTGAATAGTAGCTCCCATAATTCCCACGTGTTGTGGGAGTGACCCGGTTGGAGATAATTGAATCCTGGGGGCAGTTTCCCCCATATTGTTCTCATGGTAGTGAATAAACCTCATGACATCTGACGATTTTATAAGATTTCTCCTTTTGTTTGGCTCTCATTCTCTCTTGCCTGCCACCACATAAGACATGCTTTTTGCCTTCCGCCATGATTGTGAGGCCTCCCCTGCCACGTGGAACTGTGAGTCCATTAAATCTCTTTTTCTTTGTAAATTACCCAGTCTCGGATTATGTCTTTAACATCTTTATCAGCAGCATGAAAACGTACGAATACACTAAGGTTAAGACTTTATATTTCTTCTGAAATAATATTTCCCCCCGCAGTAATTTTTCCGAATTTCTATAAGACTAGCTGGCTTTCCTGACTTGGTTCTGGAGAACTGTCAACACCATTCAGTTAGGGAATGCTGCTGCTGCTCTTTCTGAAGCACACTGCCACAGCTGCCCAGGTGAGAAGCCACACCAGCCAAATTCTGTTTCTGAGAATTTCCTCCATATTCCAGAATGTCAAGCCAGGCCAAGATCTCTGTGATTTTTTACTCCTGGACCATTAATGATCTGGCCTCCCAATGGACAGCGCAACATTTGGATTCTAGGTTGGGCCGAGGGGGACATAAGTAATCATGATGCCACAGTTGCAGATTTTAAGTAAGCTAAAGCTCCTCTTAGCACAGGCAGAGGGGCCCAATCCTCTACAGCATGAATTAGCCCTGCGGAATTGCACAGGGAGGGGGCTTATCTTCACTTGCTCTTAGTCACTTTGGAAATCTGTGAGTGCGTCTGGGGTCTCCAGCATCACCCCCGGGTTTGGTAAGAGGTGATCTGGTAGCAGGACTCAGCATACAGCTGTCCCTATGGCTAGGATTTATGACAGTGAAAGAGGATGAAGCACAATCAGCAAGGAAAAAGTGCCTGGGATGAAGACCAGAGCACACCAGGCACAAGCTCCCAAGAGTCCTCTTCCAGTGGGGTCACACTGGATGTGCTTAACTCCCCCAGCAAACAGCAGTGGCCACAGTGTGAAGTGTTGTCAACCAGGGAAGTTCAGTAGAAACTCATCACCCAGGGATCTTATGGTGGGGCTGCTGACATAGGCAGCCTCTGCCTGCCCTATCTCAAAATTCCAGACGGAAAGCAAGTGTTCAGTATAAATCATACTGTTTGCACAAACAGCTTCAGCACGGCAAGCCCATCTTATCATTTTGGGAAAACTCTATATGGGTGAAGGAAACTGTTTACCAGTTAAGTTGCCAGACACCAGCCAAGGGTCAACTTTGCAGGCAGGCCCTTCTAAGGATAGCAGTCTAGTGCCTGCACGATGAATGAACCAAGACTCTGTGAGGTGTGTAAATCCCAGGCCTCATCTGCTTTGTGGTTGGTTGTCCTTGTTAAGGTTTCCTACCATGACTTGACCTTAGAGTAGCCCTTTCCTCTGGGCTGGCCCCACGTGATGCAATCGTGCTCATTCTTTGCACACTCTGGGCAACTCCTGCCAGAGTTTTTAGTGGCATCACGGAATTTCTTAGAGTCACAGGGCCCTGAAAGTACATTTGGTTCATTCCCCTCAAGATACAGATGAGGAATGAGAGCTATGGCGAGGGTTAGTGACTTGCCCAGACTAAGTCTGGCTTTGAAAACCTTCCTCTTCTGCCAGACTCTCCTGGCCCCAAACATGGGAAGGGCTTTGACATTGACGAGGCCTCCATCCACAGCCCTCATCTGTGACCCACAGAGCTGAGAGGAAGAAAACAGACGAGCAACACAGAGGCCGGAGCCCAGCGAGTGGCCTGGCTATGCAACCAGGCCTGGTGAGTTCAGGGGGACATCGCCAGCAGTTCAGTCACAACGCACAAGAGGATGTAGAGAACACAGGCTCAGGGCCCGTCCACGCTGATCAACACAGGGTCACCTTGGGGTGTCTTGAGACCTCATCAGCAAAGCCCTCCAAGTAGCTGTCAGGCAGGTGGTGGTGTGTGTGCCCTAAGGGTCCATCCATTTGAAACCAGTAGCTTAGAGGAGAGGGGCGGCCAAAGGTCAAGCAGCTTGCCTTGGCCCCAGGCAAACGGGGTGCACCGTCATCTCAGGGGAGAAGGAGGGCAAGTCAGCAATTGCAGAAGGTGGCAGCCTGAGCGGTAAGAACCAGGGTTGGGAATGCTCACTACCAGGACACGCTGGACGCCAGGTTAAGGTTGGCAAATGAATGATCCTGGGTCAAATGCACCACTGGAAGGCGGGCTTCCACTGCATTCACGTGCATGGTCTGTGTCATGTTTCCTTTGATGAGACCCCCACTCACCACCACAATTTTCCATCCTCATGCAAAAGGGAAGCCGACACATGGTGATTTGGATTGGATTTAAAAGACTCCAGTTCAGCTCAGCACTATCTTTAATTGAGGACATAAAAAGCTTTGGCAGGTAGTAGCTGTTTTCTAATGCGTGGACTGGGAAGCAGAAAAAGTGAATGGTCAAAGAAAGACACTCAAGTGGGAGGCAAAGGAAAAAAACTCCCGAGCTGCCTATGTCTCTGATTCTGATCCTTCCAGAGGCTAAGCTATGGCTCTGTCTGGGGCTCCATGAGGTCCAACCAAATGCAATGCCTGACCATAGACTGGATCCTGTTGAGAGGGGGAAGATGCTATAGTGGGTCAACTGGAGGACACTGGCATAGGATGGTGGACTGGATCAAAGCATTTTATCAACGTTAAACATCACTAAAGTTGATCATTCTCCTGTGGTTATCTAAGAAAACATCCCAGTTCTTAGGAACTGCATACTTGAAGTGTTTCCCACCAATGGATGGACTAATAACAGTCCTTCCTGGCTGTTATCACAAAATGCCATAAACTGGGTGGCTTATGAACAGCATGCTGCTGCACTCACAGTTCTGGAGTTGGGAAGTCTAAGATCAAGGCGTCCGCAGGCTAGGCATCTGGTGAGGGCTTGCTCCCTTCCTGTTTATAGAGGGTGCCTTCTCGCTGTGTCCTCAGGGCAACATACAAATTTTGTGAGAATACAAATTTTACTTTCCAACCGGGGCACCCCATATCCTAATCATACCTTGCCCGCCCTGCCCCCTTTTGTCCACTCCTCAAGCAGACTTCTGTGACTTATAAGCAAAACAGGCCTAATGTTTACCATTAGGATGGGCTGAGCGAAGCATGCAGCCTTAGCTTCTTCACTTTTTATGGCAAATAAAGCTGGCGGAAAAGTTCCAGAAGAAAGCAGACTAAACAGATGATTGTGCCGCTCCCAAGCTTTGGGGCTGAAGCACACCGTCTAACTCCTCTGAAGCTTAGTGTTCCTTGGTTGTAAAATATCCAGTTAGACAGGCCCACCATCCCTTTTCCAGGGATTCCGGGGCCAGATGTGAAAGGGAATCTGGTGATGCATTTACTGGATGTTACATATCATCCCTGGTGTTTTTCAGCAAATGTTGTGAACGTTCACATGCTAGGAAAGAAGATAAAACTATTGCCTCGCAACAGTTCAGCCCAGGTTTTGTAAGCAATTGAGTTTGCACCAACCTATCAAAGAAAGAATTCAGTTTTCAGAGGTTCATTTTGTTTGGTTTTTTAAATTCAGAACTGAAGATAAGGGACTGTTTCTATCCCATTGGCTTCTTTTGAAAATTACATCCTGCTTCTAGGTCGATCCAGGTGCGGCATTTTGAAGAATGCCCGTTACCTTCTATTATTACATCACTTTATGTCTCTGCCTCTCACTCGGCTGAGAGCTCCTTAAAACCCAGAGATTCTATCACAGTCACTTTTGTACGTCCCGCACTACCTAGCAAAGTGCTTCCTGCATAGTGAGGCTTGAATAAATGTTTATTAAATGAATAACTGTGGTTTCAAAGATAATTTCTTTTCAGTATTCAAAACACAATGAATACTTGCAGATTTCCTAGAGGGAACAATTACTGAGTCATTTGAAGATATATAAATCTAAAAATTCAGGTGGCAATGCCCTTATTCCTTTTAATTCACCCTCTTTAAAGCATCCTCAATAAAACTACATTCCCATAACTTTAA